GTGGGTACAATCACTGTGCTGTGTATGGAAGCTTTGAAGGAACTGATGGCTGAGAAGTGGCGTGGAAGGAAAGAATGGGGAAAATGATCTGCTGTTTGCCTCTGAGCATCTTTGACTCACGAGAGGACACTGCAGACTAAAGACATTTCTTATAACACAACAAAACCTCCTCCCTGTATCACTCCTGCTCATTAGTCCAGACAGTACTGGGTCAGCCACATTGGGTGCATTTCTTTTTTTCTTCCCTATTTCTGTGTGGCTGATGTGATGGGAAAGCAAGTGGAACTCATGATCCAGAGCTGGAGTTTCGTTGTCCACAGACCTTTTGTGCATCATCTGCCTCTTCAGCTGGACGTGTGGACGATGATGGTGTAGATGCTGCTGCTACTGCAGGGGTCCCGCCTGTTTTCTTGCCCTGCTCACCACACCCCAGCACGGAGGGACAGCCAGAGAGGCGCCATGTACAGAACCGCATCTATTTCTGCTTTGTTTTCTGACTCACAACCCTGCCCCAGTGACTACGACGACAACAACAACAAAAAAGGGCAAATGCATTTTTTACATTTCTTGATAATTTCCAAAGCAATGTATCATTGCTTTCTTTAGACTGATGCCAATATAACAGTTGTATGGGTCTCAGCCAGGCTCCTGTGTCTTTTCTGCCTGAGTTTCAGATTGCTGTATGAAATGTATGCGCGTTTGCACACAGACACAACCAGACGAGGTGGCAGCACCCCGAGCCCGTGGGGTTGGTCACCTGTGTCACAGATGGAGTTGCAGACCTTGCTTTGTACGAGTAGATGAGAAACCCCAACCCACCGGTCCAGGGAGCTGAAGTGAAGCAGCCCTACTGAGACAGAACTGAGTATCCTGGGATACATCCATGGTCCTGCTGTGACTGTCCCCACAGCAGGGGCACTGCGGGGCAGAGGAACACTGAATGGGGAATTTGGAGCACAACAATATTGAAGTAGAATCCAGTCAGGGGTTTCTGGTAGCAGTGATATTTTATCAGTTCTCATAATGAAAACTGTCGTGCATATTAAGAAAACATTCCAGGCCATCAGAAGCCTCAGTTCCCATCTTGCTAACATGAGGCTGGAGGTCATTAAAGGCCAAGGAGGTTGTATTGATGCAAAGGATGTGGAAAACAGAATTGGGCTCTGAAAAATTTAATTGCATCTTTCCCCCATTTATTTTCTTCTTTAAAGGAGTCTAAGAAATACAATTCTCAATAGCTGCACAGGGTTTCTTTTTTTTCTTCTTTTGAACGTTGTGAAACTTGTAAAGTTTTATTCTGGGTGAGCAAGCCCAGGGATCCAAAAAGTTTCCAATGGGGTCTCAGTCCATGGAGCTTTTATCTCTGTTCCTGCTTTGTTTCTGGAAAGCTGAAACCACTCTGGCCTTGCTGCTACAGCTCCCTGATATTGGGTGGGTGTGGGCAGAAGCACAGCAGGAGAGATGTCCTGTTCTGAAGACAGATTGGGTTCCAATTGCTTTCAGAAAACTCAGTAGCATGACACTGGAATGGAAAAAAAAAAAAAAAAAAAACTCTTCTGATACAAACTTTAGTGTTCTAGTTAAATTCTCCATTCTTCTCCTCTCCCTTACGAGGAACTTGACACTTGAGCATAAAAACCAGGCCTTCTTTAGGGGCACAGGGCTCGACTCAGTTGCCTAAATGTGTGTGTCCACTGTCATTTGAGATAGCCTACAGTATCCTCTGCCAGGTCTGCTGCAGCTGGTGGGGAGAGGCACAGCTCTGGCCCAGGCAGGGCTGGTTTCACAGAGGACAGCAGAGATCTCAGGTGGCAGGGGACAATTAGACAACTTAATCAAGTCCCTTTCTAAAGGGCTAATTGACAGGAGCAGCACCAATGACTGATGTAATGAGGGAATCTTCATTAGCATTACCAAGGGCTTAGTTAGGCAGGATCAGGAGCTTGTCTTCACACTCCCATGCTGTTGTTTTTCTATCCCATGTCAGACACTCTGCCTCCATTCCTGCCACCTGAAGTTGGCTCTGCCTGGTCATTTCCTTAGGCCAGGATTAGCAGCTGCATCCCAGGCCCAGGGGAGCAGGGACAGGCTGAGGCAAGAGCAGGCATCACTCAACCACAGATTTTTCTGCCAGCATTCCAACAGCCCCTTTCCAAATCTTTTCCCTATTTGAGACAGAACCACAAATTCAGACACCATTTGCTGGGATCATCATTCAGGTGATTAAACACCTGTGTTTTTCTGTTAGTTCTCTCCCAGTTAGGCTGAAATGCTTTTCAGTATTTTAAGCATCCTAAGTCAGTCTGTTCCCATCTCAAGCACCTAGGTAGACTGGCAGCCAATACTATCTAAGCATCATCAACTTTATAGTTGCTCATAGAAATTATTGTTTCAAGCTTACTTAGTCTTAACAATTTGAATGTGGGAAAATTTTGGAGGAGGAGGAGGAGTGACATTGTAAATATCCCTGACAAACACTGCTGCATCACACACACAAAAAAAGGGGAGATGCTTATAAAACTGCCTTAAAAATCAATTCCGAATGATGAATCTCCCTCCAAACAATTGCCGCTTGATAGAGCAAGGAATGAGTCACTTTGGGTGAATTCTGGCAATTCTGGTTGGAATCTAGTCCAGTTTCAGGAGCAAAAGTGTAATTTAGGAGCTGATCTCTCACTCAGTCTGAATTCACATCAGCACCAAGGACTGAGCACTGCAGGATCCAAAGGGTTTAAGTCCAGGGTTACTGTCTGTGCATGGTTTGGGTCTGGCACAGCAGGTACTGCGTACCGGTGTCTCCCAGTGACTTCAGGGAAGATGGGGTTCCTCAGCACCTCTTAAGTTCAGGCCCTGGAGCACCATTTCCTGCTCTGATCATCAGCTATAAATGTTGATAAATATAAGTGTTTTGCCTTCATTTGAATTGCCCAGAGCTGTAAAATTACCTCTCTCAAGTATAAATCAGTCCAGATATAAACCTCCTCTCCCACTCTTCCCTATGCTCCCTGCCCACCTTCCCATCCCTCCCTTGCACCTCCACCCAAGCCCTTCCCTGTCTCAATTCTTTACCTCCTTCCACACTTTTATATCTAGTTTTCATGAACCCACAGAAATGCTTTTGTAAATACTGCTGTACAGTTTGTAACCGTCATGTAAGCCTGTCATCAGTGCCAGAGTCCGTCTTGCCCTCTCGCACGTTTTAAAATCAACAGAGGAAAGTTAGAGTGAGTGGCCTGCCAGTGAGCTATAGGGTCATCTCTGTGTGGGACAAATGTATATTCCTGTAAGATTGCATTTTTATCTAAGGAATGATGTTATTTTAAAATTGCTAATAAATTTCTAAACAATGTCCAGATTTGTTCAATATTGTAAATGGTATCAAAACTCCTTTGACGTTGTTCCCTCCTACCAGCGGTGGCTGAAAATTAAAGACAGCTTCCTGCAGCCCCTTATTTCCCATTGTCGGCCCAGCTGCCATTCAGGGGCTCTTGTCCCTGCTTAAGGGACTACAGAACGGCCTGCACAGCCACAGCCAGCCCTACTAAACAGCAGCTTAGGAAATCCAACCACTGTCTGTACTGCTGTCACCACAGAAATTCGGACGTGTCACGATGTCCAACATGTGACTCATGTGCAACCACACACTTAACATTTTCTCTACTGGATTCCTTCTTACCAAGCACATGCAACAGAAAATGAATGCCCTCAGCTTAAATACAGTGTAATTAGGATATACATAAGCCATGAAGCTAATGGGATGATAACAAGTAACGTTCCACATATTTGCTTGTCGATTGAGCAAATTTGTTCTACCATGGTTATCAGGAAATTATACCATGATGCCAGCTGAACACGATGTTTGTGTTGCAGCATTATAAATCACAGTGTGCTCAGCCCAAGTACATCAGTCTAAGATTCAGTAAAAATAACGGGGTTTTTTCAGTTACACATGCATATATAAATATTTTTCTCTGACTTGCACGTAACTGTCAGAACTGCAGGCTCTGCTGTTACTTTTAAATTGTGGTGGCACAAAACGTTAAAAACCCAGGAAGTGGTGAAAACCTGTCGGTGTCATCAGTGCAGGGCAGAAGGCTCACCAACAGAAACCTCATTATCTGCAGGCTCAGACTGGCCACCGGTTAGACATTTGCCACCACAAAAGCACAGTAAACCACCCTGCTCACGGCTGTTGGTCAAAGCCCATCAAAGGGCTCAGCTTTGCTGGAAAACTCCCCGAGTTGGCCACTTGGTTGAGTTACAGCTCTGTGTGAGATCATTAGGTGAAATCCATGGCCAAGAACAGGGGAAAGTGGCTGTGGGCGTGCTGCAGTGTGAAAACAGTGCGAAACCTGGAGTGAAAGCTGTGAGACAGCTGAAGCGGGGTGACCCTCAGGAACGAGTAACAGGTTTGCAAAGTCCCCTGCGAAGCGGATGCATTTAGAACATCCCCACAAGTGGAAAAGCAGAACATACACCTGTAGTGCTTTTTGTCCAGCAGCTGCAGAGCGCTGCTGATGTCAGTTTTTAATGCTCACGGCATTTACCCGAAGCCAGAGACCCGCACTGGGAGTTCCACCTCACCACGAGGAAGAACTTCTTTACATCCAGGGGTGGCAGAGCCCTGGAGCAGCTGCCCGGAGGGAGGCCGTGCAGTCTGCCTCTCTGGAGACATCCCGAATCCACCCGGACGCGTTCCTGCGCCACCTGCTCCAGGTGTGTATTGGCCGGGGTGTTGGAAGGGATGCTCTGCAGCGCTCCCTTCCCAGCACGGAGACCCCGGGACCCTCCCGCTGACCCACGAACGGGAAGACGACCCGCAGGCCGAAGCGTTTTTGGCTCTTTAACCCCAAGCTGAGCCCAGCGGCGGGGAGGAGCCGCTGGGCGCGGCCGCACACGGCGGGCGGGCCCCGCGCCGCGCCGCCCCGGCCCCTCCTCAGGTGCGGCCCCGCCCGGCCCCAGCCCGGAAGCGCCGGGCGGCGGAGCGGCGGAGCGGGGCCATGGCGGGCGCGGGGCCGCCGCCGCTGCTGCTCCTCCTGCCGCTGCTGCTGGCCCGGCCGCCCGCCGCCGCTGCCCTGCGGCTGCTGCTGGACGCCGCGCCGCCTTTCACCTGCTCGCAGCCGGTAAGCGGCGCCGGCAGCGCCGGGCCCGGGCGGGCGCGGGGGCCGGGACGGCGGCATGGCGGGACGGGAGCGGCGCCCGGGTGGGGCGCGGGGCCGGCTGCGCCGCTGTCCCGGGAACGCTGCGCAGCTCGCTGGGCTGCCCGGCCCGGG